GAAACCACATGCAGAACTATCAAAATTTATCCTGACTGAAAATAGTTTCAGGAAGAGGCAAAAGGAGGGTTTGCATGCTGAGACTTGCAATCTATTGCCAAACATCATTCTGTAACAAAATCATGCTAATGAAGTCAAGGTTTTATAGAGAACTCTTGGACATTTTACATTCTGATATCATTACCTTTCTGCAAATTTTTGTTGTTAAAAAAGGATGTATCAGTGAGTACAAGAATAAAATGATGTAGGTTCATGACAAACACTTGGACAGCAAAGGAAATGTAATATCCTGTGGAAAAGCAACATTTCTATGCATGATGAACATAACCTGATGAAGAGGATGACTTCATTATAAACTATTAATTTTATACTAAAAATTAATTTAATTTTATACTAAAAAGTTTCTGTGAGTAAATAATAATGTTTTCATTTTGGATAGTATCATTCCAAAAGTTCTGCCAAATATACAGAAAAAAGCTAATGTTCCTTAGAATGTGTAACATCATATAAATAACATACCTATTATCTGAGAGAAGATTCATTTTAGAATTATTTTGCTTAAAAAATTATAGTTGCTGATTTTTCCAATGTTTTAGTACCAATAAGATACCAATAAACTACCAATGCTGCTCTTTCAAAATATAATCTACCATGTCAATTGTACTCATGCTTCCATAATTAAAAATGTATTTGAAATCATTGAAACTTAAGGCATCTATCCTGAGCATTGCTGGGTGTAGCCCCAGAGACGACCTTCAAGTCAAGAACTTCTGGAGTGGTTCTTAGAGGAGAACTTTACAGGATCTGAGTAGCACTGTATCCTTGGGCCCTTGCCCAAAATCCCTGAGTACCATCAGGACTGGTACCTGGGCCCACTGAGCACTACTTGGGAGACCTGTTCTTCCCAATTACAAAACTCACACACACACACACACACACACACACACACACACACACATATATACATGCTCGGCATCTAGTTGCTGACCTAAAGAATTATTGATATGCTTAGTATCCCATGTCAATAACAACTGCTAAATACATTAATATTATCACAATTCAAAATCTATCACCAAAACAATTTTCACACAAGTTTTAATTTTCACACAAGTTACAATTAAGAATAATAAAAAATGTGATTAGGATTGCTGATAATAGATACTAACATTCTATATGTGTTTTCTATATAACATATCACATTTTTTATCACAGTTGACATCTAACACTAATTGTCTAAAGTTATTATAATAAAGGGTAAGTTTAAATAAAGAATGTTGATAGGATAGGCACATTTTCAGAAGTTCTGATGTTATTGAATGCCAGAGGAAGCAAGAAGATTGATGGAATGATAACAGAGAGGAAGCTCTTAGCATACAGAGTTTAAAACATTTAAAAACTATTTTCCGTTGCCTTGAATATCTTGCTTCATTTGTGAGCTCACAAAGTATCAGGTAATGGTACAAAAATCTGTGATGTCTATGACTTTTCTTCTTTTATATTCCTTACCCCTATAATAACAATAAAAGGAATAGTAAATAAGTTTTAGGGATGTCCTCTAATCAATTATTTGGTTTTTAAATTAAATACTAATAAACATAGTCAACTACAAATATTTTTGTACAAAACCAAATGTTAAAACTTGAATGGACAAAAGAACTGTTTTAAGGGTAAGCAATGATTAACAATTTTAATATAATTTTTGTCTCTTAAATAGTGCAGTTCAAAGTATTTAACTGAAATACATCTAACAAAAAATTAGGACAGTATTTCCAAACCCTGTAGATGTTTTTAGATTAGATGTAAGAATATATCTTCAATTCAGTTTCAAAGTTCCATTTTTGCTGTTCTTTTTAGATCTTAGAAGATGTACAAAATAGGAAATATTAGATCTAAAGAAAAAAATGCTGGTCTAAGGGGAAAAAAAGAGGCATTACTCAAAGATATGATCAAATTCTATGAGTTTCCTACGCCCCAAAGGTTGGAATGAAATCAGTCTTCAGAAGCTGACTGGAACATGAAAATGACTTCATCAGTAATGTGGAATGAATTATTGCTTCGATCTCTGTTCTTTGTGTGTATATTGGCTCCCATTTGATGTTTACACATTTCTCACTGACATTCAAAGCACAAGAGAATAGACAGCTGAGTTCTGCTACCAAAGTGATTAAAAACCATATATAAGCTGAATGCTATTTTTCATAATTCCAAATTCTCATGGGAAGGGATTTGTATTGACCCATCCTGTGACTTACATGCTAGATTGGTGATGGTGTCACATTGAGAAGAAACTCAGATATTCATTTGGAGAAGATATATATGGAACAGTGTTCAGCAATTATAATAAACATTAAGAATACTTGTTTACGAACTAATTCATTTATCATAAAAAATATGGTATTGTATTTTAGACTTTGTTCAGGACAATATTCAGGTAGTAAGTGAGATAAATACGGCATGTGAGAAATCTGTGACCATAAATAAATAGCAATTCAAGTGATTTTGCATAAAACAAAAGGCAAAGCAAATACTACTATCATCTTTCTAGCTGAATTGAAAACGGGATTATTTTGAGAATAATTCTTATTTAAAAAATATATTTTCGACACAGCAGTGACAAGTCCTGGAGGCCACCACAGCACAGGAGATTACTCCAGGCCCCATACCGAGCTGATTTCACTGGAGCACCCCAAATGTAGTAGGTTCATGCAGTATCCCCACTTTCTCCAGATGGAATCCCGGCAACCGTGAGCTTATACAAGCAAGGCCCCACATGTGGCTTCAGGACTAAATCTCCAAACCACATGGGGGCAGTGGAACTGGGTAGTCTCACCCTGGCTTCCAGTCCACTCCTGACACTGAAGTCATGCCCACATCCCATCCCCAGGCACCATCTTAGTGCACCAACAGCCCGGGCCTAGAAACTCCCAACTGAATCCCAAAATGGAACAGCTCCCTACAGAGATGTCTCTGGAACCCAGCCATTTATAATCTTAGAATTTCAGAAGCACACGTCTGCTTATGCAATCACATGACCTCTCATAATATGCAAAATGAGCAATGAAAAATAAATGATCTAGCGTTGGCCCTGGAAGGCAGGCTTGAATGGTTGTGGGAAATTTTGAGCAAAATGTAATGTCCAGAAATAGAGAGTATCTGAGTATAGCGTATCTGCCATACAGGCAGGGCAAAGACTGGGGTGGAGAGGGGGGAGGATAAGGAGGAATTGGTGGTAGAAAGTTTGCACTGGTGGAGAGATAGGTGTTCAATCACTGTATGGCTGAATCTTAAACATGAGAGCTTTGTAACTATCTCATGGTGGTTCAATAAAAAAGTTAAAAAAGTCATTAGTAAAATATATTTTTTTCTTAAGATCATAACACAAATGAACTCTAGAATGAAATTTATTATCCAAGATGCTTCTATAAACATTGTGTTTGGGTTTTTCAAAGCAGAAAAGAAAAGTTTTGTTTATAAAATAAATTATAGTAGCATACTATATATAGTATTACTATATATAGTATATCTCTGAGCAATATAATACATAAGAAAAGGCAAGTGTATTGTTCATGTAATTCCAAACTTATTGGGAATGATAACATCATGTAAATTAACTAGATTTTCTTAACATTGACTTATTGCAATGTGCAATATACTGAACAGATAAATACTTTGAAGGGATGTTACTAAGATAAAACTAATAAGCTAATTATGCCAAAATAAAATAGTTTCTTCTGATAGTGGTGAAGGGGGACATGCATTGTTCAGGAGTAAACCTGGGCTTCCTGAACATAAAACATGTACATCAGTCCTCAAGACTAAACAATTTTAACCAAAAATCCCCAACAAAAGCAAAGAAGCAAACCAAAAGAATACATTCTTACTTGACTAATGAGCAATTTCAGTTAGAAATTAAGACTTTTCTCCATTTGTTTTGTTAAAACGCCTAAAACATTAACAGCATTTAGTCTACTAGTCTGTATAGTAGAGTAGGGATAAAGGAAAACAAAATATACACATACGCATTTATGTATAGCCCCTTATCAATCTGCTTAAGAATTTATAAGTTCCTTTGAGAATACTTTAAAGGTTTTCAAAAACCGGAGTCATTTTTCTTCTAAAAATAAGTATAAGTCTCACTGTGGTCCTATGGCATTGCATAAAATTTCCTAAGTGACAGAATAGGGATGGGAACTTAGATTAACTACAGTTACCAATTAATTAATTAATTAATTAATTTTGGTTTATGGACTACACCTGGCAATGCAGAGCTCACTTCAGGCTCTGCACTCAGGGATAACTCCTGGTAGGGCTTTGGGGACTGTCCTAGTGTGATAACACAGTGGTAGGGCGTTTGCCTTGCGTGCAGCCAGCCCGGCCAAGTTGGGTTCGATTCCTCTGCCATCTCAGAGAGCCCGGTAAGCTATCAAGAGTATCTCACCTGCAGAGCAAAGCCTGGCAAGCTACCCATGATGTATTCAATATGTTGAACACAGTAACAACAAGTCTCAAAATGGAGACGTTACTGGGCCTGCTCGAGCAAATCAATGAACAACGGGAGAACAGTGACAGTGACAGGGCTTGGGGAATGATAAAGGGGTGCCAGGAACAGAGGCTTGGCTAGTTGTATGCAAGGCAAACACTGCAGCCCTCTGAAGTTATTAGTTCTTGTCTGATTAGACTCTAAACTCGCCTAGTCCCTAGTCTATTTCACTCTTTTCCACAATTCAGAAAAAGACATATTTGCTAACTGCCTTGTATTATAATTAGACTGAATCCTCCAGTTTATGACAACCACAACTGCTCAAAAGTCAGGGTATCAGCCAGAACAGCAATCGAGGCTGGTTCTTTTCGTGGCTGTGCCTCATTATGCATTTCTCTGCCTACAACCATTGTCTTTGAATGGCAGCAGAGCACAGCCATCAAGTATAAGCAAGCTCAGCTGTTGCTCTGTGTGATGCTACCGTTCATACAAGAGAAGAGAAAGAGGCAGGATGCCTTACCCGCAGGAAAGAGAGGTCCCGGTTGTGTTCGATGCTGGTTATCTCCAAGTTGCCCATGACTACCTCGCAGTTCTCATAGTACTTGCGCAAGGCTCGGTACTGCTGTTCCAGGTCAGAGAGAGAGCTCAGTTTATTCTCGGTTCCAGCACACACTGCCAAGACAAAAAGGGACACAGAACGTTAAAAAACCTTATAAATACATGCGTGATGACAACATCATGCTTGTTCTATTCCAGAGCCCTCTGCTTCATTGATCTTACTAAAAATATTTTCAATATCATTAACAGTCACACATTGATATTTTCACTTTTAATTTTCCCAGTTTTATTGAGACATATTGACATAGAATATTGTGGATGATATATATGTATATATATAGTATATATATAGTGCTGGTGCCCAACCAGATCATGAAGATGAGTCCTTGGATGCTGCCCTGCAAGCAGAAATCAGAATCGGGACCCCACATTGCACTAAGTGGACGAGCATAAGCTTGAGAGCCTGATTGATATGGAAAAGGCAAAACTAACCCTCTGTGGCCAGCAAATTTCTGCAGCACAAAACAGCTGCTTCCCCGTTCACATATTTCAGATCTAGATAAACTTTAGATTTAAACCATCCTCTCCTCTTTATCACAGATCTCAGGTATGATGAAGTCATGATGTAACTGATGTTTTCAGGTGGGAGGAGAACGTGACTTATGTAATTGACCATGGTTTTCTTCTTGTAACTGATTATGTCTTTCTTCCTTTAATTGATCATGTTCTCATACCACGTTGTTGAATTTCATTGGTGATTCTTACCACACTGTTAAATTTCATTAGATGTGATTATAATAAGCCAGCAAATAAAAGGAGGCTGAAAAGACTGCTCTTTGTCACAAGACCTGAGCGAGTCTGTGATCCTCCGTGAATCATTTAATTTCTTTTGCGAATCCTTATCTCAGCGCCTCAGACCACCTAACTGAACATTCATGCAACAATATACATATGTACAAAAAACTTATGTGGTGCATAAACTTGTATATTACAAAACAACCAGCATAGTTAACACCTTCATCATCATATAATTATCTTTTCTCTGTGATGAAATATTTAAAATATACTTTTGTAAAAGAAAGTTCAAAATATGTAACAAAATACTGTTAACTACAATCACCATGACAGGCATTAAGAATTTATAGTTAAAATTATATACTTTCTTCTAAATCTCCCCATTTGCCTTACCCTGCAAGTCCTGGTAAACACCATTCTACACAACTATAAATTTTGACATTTTCATACTCTACACAAGTGTAGTTCTTAATATTATATCATAAAATTTTTAGTAGACATAGAATACAGAAGAATTTTATTGCAGGAAGTATACAAAACTTGTCAATATATTTAATTTTATTTAAACAATATTTAAGGAATTCTAATTTACTGTTTTTAATAAGGTGATTTTACATGTATAAGTAAATCAAAATCTGAGGGTAATGATTTAAAAAAATAGTTAAAAATAAAATATTTGAATTGTAAAATTATCAATTCTTATGAAGTATTTGAGCTGGAGCTATAGCAAAGCAGGTAGGGTGTTTGCCTCGCACACAGCCGACCCGGGTTCGATTTCTCTGTCCCTCTCGGAGAGCCCGGCAAGCTACCAAGAGTATCCCGCCCACACGGCAGAGCCTAGCAAGCTCCCCATGTCATATTCGATATGCCAAAAACAGTAACCACAGGTCTCACAATGAGACGTTATTGGTGGCTGCTCGAGCAAATCAATGAACAACCGTAGGAAAGTGCTACAGTGCTATTAAGTATTAACCCAATTAAAACTAGGCCCTTAAGATTTCCTAAATAGTACCTTTCAAGCAAATGCTAATCCAGTAATTTTAATACTTTTTATTCTTGCAGATAAGCACATAAGTGGCATGAAACCAGGGTTGAACAACTTTGTGACATTTATAGTCTGAATATAGAAGAAAATATAAAATTTCATTAGTGTCAACTACATCATCATTATATATTCTTTAGTGTACTGTTATAGAACAGATTGATAATAAGTGATCATTTATATTTTATGTTTTGGGTAATTCTTAAAACTGATCATATATGAATGTCCAGAGTATACTTATGTTTTTCCAATTCTTTGGGAGTCAGTATTGCTTTTCTTTCAGAAACTTTAGCATACTTCTCATTCTTTATTTACTTGCTTTATAAATAATTTTCAAGGTCTCAACTCTAATACTCAAATGAATAAAAATTATGCATATTTCAGTAATATACATGCAGTTAAAGATAGTGGAATGTGAATGAAATGAATCTTCTTTGGGAAGGTACAAAATATACCACACATTTAAGACAATATAGAAAGTGCAAACCTAAAAGACTCTAAAATGATGAAGAGATAATATAAGGGTTAATTTCCATGCATTTTACATGATCAATCCTGGTTTGATTCCCACTTCCACATATGACCTCCAAACACCAAGCACCACCTGTAGTTATACCAGAGCAGTGCCATAAACTTGAACACTGCGGATTAGGGGCCAGAGCGATAGCACAGCGGGTAGGGCATTTGCCTTGCACGTGGCCAACCCGGGTTCGATCCCCAGCATCCGACATGGTCCCCCAAGCACCGCCAGGAGTAATTCCTGAGTGCAGAGCCAGTAGTAACCCCTGAGCATTGCTGGGTGTGACCCAAAAAGCAAAAAAAAAAAAAAAGAAAAAAGAATTAACAGAAAAACTAGAAACAAATTGGTAATGAATTAAATGCATAGTTATATGTTACAAGTGCAAAATAGCAAAAGGTTATTCTGACTAGTTTTTTGTACAGAGAGAGACAAAAATAATCAATATGAATATAACTTGGATAATTTGGGCAACATCTAGGACTATTACAGCTTTTTTATTTTATCTTTAGCCACAATGAAACCTCTCTATAAAAATAAAACATTAATTTTTCTCTTCAGGATTTCTAAAGTTCACTAAACAGTATGTTTTCTAAAAATATTATTATTTTAAAATATTAAATATAACAATTTACTTCTCCAAAAGAGAGGATGAAGGTCTAATCCCTGGTACCCATACATGTGAGTACATCTGGAAATGGGTACTTTGTAGATACAATCAATTTACAATGAAGTGAGCCTACATGATTAATCTCATTCCAAGAATTGAAAATCACCAAGTGAAAAGTAACAGTCACAGTCACAGTCCTCCCGTTGTTCATCGATTTGCTCGAGCAGGCCCAGTAACATCTCCATCATGAGACTTGTTGTTACTGTGTTTGGCATATCAAATACGTCACGGGTAGCTTGCCAGGCTCTCCGAGAGGGGCGGAGAAATCAAACTCGGGTCGGCCATGTTGGCCATGTTGCCCGCTTGAAAGGCAAACACTCTACCGTTGTGCTATCGCTCCAGCCCTAGTGAAAAGTAAAAACATATGAAAAAAGACTTGTTACCACAGAGGAAAAGACTGAACCAACAAATGCAGGGCAAATGATGCCACAGATTGTTGGCCATAACCAGAAAGTAAAAAGAGACTATGAAGTTTATGGAGTGTTAGAAGGAGCACAGGTGAAACTGATATTGAGAATCTAGCTTCCAGAACCATGAAATTTAATAGTATTCCTGATGTTTTATCTGAACTAGCTCACGGACCCTTTATCCCCACACAATTAATATAGTGCTTCAAATTATTTCTGTCAGGAATTATCAAATCTGAACTCATGTTAAAAATCACTTTCTTGGGAGTGAAGAGAGTATAGGAAGAAAAGTGCTTGTCTTGCATGTGATCAACTATGGCTTAATCCCAGGCTCTGCACATGGTACCCCAAGTATTGCCAGGAGTGACTCACTCATGGTCTCAGAGCCAGAAACAGTCTCTGAGCATCTTTGGTTCTGGTTTAAACTCTTCGCCCAGGCATCACTTTCTTTCGTAAGGGTTATATTAGCTTATCACCCCAGTAACTTACCAATTTATTCTTTCCCTACTTCTTCTGATGTTTCTCATACATCATGCTGATCTCCACTTGATACCTAAATGCAATCATTAAGTGATGGTCTATGAAACCATGTGGTCCAGGGTTTCTCAAAGATCTGATAAGATTTGGTGCTTTTGCAAATAAGCTTATGAAATGATGAAGATGAATGCTAAGACTTTTAGCATCTTCATTCTCTCCTTTCTTCACAGTAATTAGCCATACAATTTTTACTTAGACAGTTGGACATGTGACCATTCCAAATAAATACATTATTTTTATTACTTTTGAGGTAGGCTGGAACGATAGCAATTGGGTAAGGCATTTGCCTTGCACATGGCCGACCCAGGTTCAATTCCTCTGCCCCTCTCAGAGAACCCAGTAAGCTACCAAGAGTATCTCACCCACACAGAAAAGCCTGGCAAGCTCCCCATGACATATTCAATATGTGAAACACAGTAACAACAAGTTTCACAATGGAGACATTACTGGACCCGCACAAGCAAATCTATGAACAACAGGAGGACAGTGCTACAGTGCAGGGCTACATTCGAGGTAAGGTTATTAAAAGGCACAATTCTGACATTCTCCAAAACTTTATTTAAAACGTTTTTGGCCACTGACTTCTCCATTGTCACTCTTGGAATGGTGTTATTGTGGGTAAAACCTGAACCAGCATTCTGGACTGTAAATTTAGGCTGCAATCTAGAGAAAGACTAAGATTTAAGCACAAAGGGGTGATTGTTTTCCAATAATTAATTCTGGTCTTTATATCAATAACAATAAGAAATGGCAATCTTTGGCCCTAAAATATTGCCCAGGGAAGAACAGATTTCAGATAGCTATTGACCTTATGTACCTTATGGGCTGGAGCAATAGCACAGTGGGTAGGACATTTGCCTTGCACGTGGCTGACCTAGGTTCGATTCCTTCATCCCTCTCAGACAGCCCAGCAAGCTACCATGAGTATCCTGCCCACACAGCAGAGCCTGGCATGCTCCCTGTGGCATATTTGATATGACAAAAATAGTAACAACAAGTCTCACAATGGAGACATTACTGGTGCCCGCTCAAGCAAATCAATGAACAACGGTAAGACAGTGCAACTGTGATATATATATATATAACATAATATGTATATATGTATGTATAATACATATTTAAACTATTTTGCCTAGTCAGGCTGAA